CAATCGGTCTTACATGTCACTGAACTTAAACCAACCTAGTGATCTTAAAATCAGACCCGTTACCGGGCTTAAAGTTGCGATCTCAAAATTTAAGATCGGAAAGGGATCTTATTCCCATAATCAGACTCATGAACGATGTTAAAATGCGTAAGATCGCATGTTAAGATCGGAAATTGGTCTGATTTTAAGACCGTTTACCGGTCTTACGGTCTTAGATCTTAGTTTCAGAGCATTCGTAAGACCGGAGTTTTTGCAGTGTGCCGATTCTAGACGGAGATTCAGCACATTATCCAGAATCGGCCATGTATACCTACTTATAAGGGTCAAAATTTAAGCGTAAAAAACAGAGAGCCCAGATAGAAGGTTCAAAATAGAAGTGTTAAATTATAAGGGTGAAACTCTACGGGCCTTAAAAAATAAAGGTAAGAAAAAATTAGCGTTACCAAAAGTAAGCATCAGAAAAAATAACATTAATTTACAAAATTAAATGAATAAAAAACGTTCATTATTGTAAATAAACATTAAATAAAATATGGATTTTCCTAAAAGATACCTGGAGAGCATAAGGATAAAAAAATATAAGGGTCTAAAGAGTGAAAATTCAGAAGACACAATGGTCAAAACTTAGTAGAATGATAATATATATAGGGTTAGAATAGATGATAGCATCAGAATAGATAAAAATTAAAGGAAAGAAAGATTTAATTTACATTACCGCCACGGGCGACTCTTCGGACGATTTGGGCAGTTGTTCGGGGTTCTGGGATTCAGGCAGGGTTGGGGATTTTGTCCTCCACCTTCGATGACGTTCCATAAAATTACTCACATTCGAGATAGTTTTAGCAACCATCAACTAGAATTGGTGATTACCAGGGTCCGGAAGTTCATGTCGCGAAAATCATGGGGGTGCCGTGCCTGAATCGAACAATGAAAAAAAAAAACAAAACAACTGGAATGTCAGAAAATTGGAGGTTGCGTTTGATTTAATTTTCTGAAATTGATGTTTTTTCTTTTTTTTTTTTCAAACACTTGAGATTTTATTCGGGTGTAAAGAGGGGGGGAATGGGATGATCCATAATTATAGGATGGAATTGATAAATAGAGTCCCTGTCCTAAATGACGGGAAAATTATGTGAAAATAGTGTACATTGCCACACTATATTCATACAATTTTCCCGGCAATATACTCCACAGCCTCTTAGATTCACCCTAGGTGAATTTATTTTATTGGAGATGCTGGAGATGATAACTATAGCCATCCTGGAATGTGTCCTAGGTGGACAACTGTTGGGACTGCTGGAAAAAAGCCTCTTAGGTGTCCTTCTGAGTGTCCTAGGTAGAATCCTGTTGAAACTGATGGGAAAAATTCTTCTTAGTGTCTTTCTGAGTGTCCTAGGTAGAATCCTGTTGGAACTGATGGGAAAAATCCTTCTTAATGTCCTTCTGAGTGTCCTAGGTAGAATCCTGTTAAGACTGCAGGGAAAATCCTTCTGGGTGTCCTTCCGAGTGTCCTTGGTAGATTCCTGTTGGGACTGCTGGAGAAAATCCTTCTAAATGTCCTTCTGAGTGTCCCAGGTGGAATCCTGTTGGGACTGCTGGCAAAAATTCTTCTAGGTGTCCTTCTGAGTGTCCCAGGTGGAATCCTGTTGGGAATGCTGGCAAAAATCTTTCTAGGTGTCCTTCCGAGTGTCCTTGGTAGATTCCTGTTGGAACTGCTGGGAAAAATCCTTCTAGGTGTCCTTCTGAGTGTCCTAGGTATAATCCTCCTGAGACTGATTGGAAAAATCCTTCTTAATGTCCTTCTGAGTGTTCTTGGTAGAATCCTGTTAGGACTGTTGGGAAAAATCCTTCTAGGTGTCCTTCCGAGTGTCCTTGGTAGAATCCTGTTGGAACTGCTGGGAAAAATCCTTCTAGGTGTCCTCCTGAGTGTCCTAGGTATAATCCTGTTGGAACTGATGGGGAAAATCCTTCTTAATGTCCTTCTGAGTGTTCTTGGTAGAATCCTGTTAGGACTGTTGGGAAAAATCCTTCTAGGTGTCCTTCCGAGTGTCCTTGGTAGAATCCTGTTGGAACTGCTGGGAAAAATCCTTCTAGGTGTCCTCCTGAGTGTCCTAGGTATAATCCTGTTGGAACTGATGGGGAAAATCCTTCTTAATGTCCTTCTGAGTGTCCTAGGTAAAATCCTGTTAGGACTGCTGGGAAAAATCCTTCTAGGTGTCCTTCTGAGTGTCTCAGGTGGAATCCTGTTGGGAATGCTGGCAAAAATCCTTCTAAGTGTCCTTCTGAGTGTCCTAGGTAGAATCCTGTTAGGACTGCTGGGAAAAATCCTTCTAGGTGTCCTTCTGAGTGTCTCAGGTGGAATCCTGTTGGGAATGCTGGCAAAAATCCTTCTAAGTGTCCTTCTGAGTGTCCTAGGTAGATTCTTGTTGACAATTCTAGCGAGAATTATCCTACGGAAGCTTTAAAGTCACCGCGGGAGAATCGTGCTGAAGATACTGAAGAGATTATTTGCATTATCCTCCAAAGTCTTATCGGGAGAATTCTCTCAGAAAGGCTGAAGAGAATGGTAACAGCTATCCGCCGAAATCTCCATGGCAAAATCACGCCGGTGATTGAAGAAGACCCTGCCCCTGATGATAGATTCTTCATCCCCTATACCATTTGGATACCTCTATTTATCACCCAATATACCAGGTGCCATACCAACCATGCTAAAGAGCTTGGTATTAGCTTATCCGGGATGTCACAAACCTTAAAGGAGTCTGGCCCACTGGTGAATTACTACCAGTGCTTACCTGGTCTTAGGGAGTATCGATAGTTGAATGAAATGTCTGACGTGTTATGAAGGTCTTATGATATCAAGGGCGCAAGAGCATGTCGGGACGAGGAATGAATGAATAAGACCCAGGTTTACAAGAAGCATCCAAAATACACCAGGGCCAACTGAATGAAGTGCAAGCAGTACGATCCCTACCGAATATACTACCATCAACTCCACATGTATTTTTTCGGAATTTCAGAATTTTCCAAATTTTATTAAATTGCGGAAGGACACGTAGAAGGATTTTTCCCAGCAGTCTCAACAGGATTCTACCTAGGACACTCAAAAGGACACCTAGAAGGATTTTTGCCAGCAGTCCCAACAGGAATCTACCAAGGACACTCAGAAGGACATTAAGAAGAATTTTTCCAATCACTCTCAACAGGATTATACCTAGGACACTCAGAAGGACACCTAGAAGGATTTTTCCTAGCAGTCCCAACAGGAATCTATCAAGGACACTCGGAGGGACACCTAGAAGGATTTTTCCCAGCAGTCCCAACAGGAGTCTACCAAGGACACTCAGAAGGACACCTAGAAGGATTTGTTCCATCAGTTCCAACAGGATTCTACCAAGGACACTCGGAAGGACACCTAGAAGGATTTGTTCCATCAGTTCCAACAGGATTCTACCAAGGACACTCGGAAGGACACCTAGAAGGATTTGTTCCATCAGTTCCAACAGGATTCTACCAAGGACACTCGGAAGGACACCTAGAAGGATTTGTTCCATCAGTTCCAACAGGATTCTACCAAGGACACTCGGAAGGACACCTAGAAGGATTTTTCCCAGCAGTCCCAACAGGATTTTACCACGGACACCCAGAAGGATTTTTCCCATCAGTCTCAACAGGATTCCACCTAGGACACTCAGAAGGACACCTAGAAGGATTTGTTCCATCAGTTCCAACAGGATTCTACCAAGGACACTCAGAAGGACATTAAGAAGGATTTTTCCAGTCAGTCTCAGCAGGATTATACCTCGGACACTAAGAAGGACACCTAGAAGGATTTTTCCCAGCAGTCCCAACAGGAATCTACCAAGGACACTCGGAAGGACACCTAGAAAGATTTTTGCCAGCATTCCCAACAGGATTCCACCTGGGACACTCAGAAGGACACCTAGAAGGATTTTTGACAGCAGTCCCAACAGGATTCCACCTGGGACACTCAGAAGGACATTTAGAAGGATTTTCCTCAGCAGTTCCAACAGGAATCTACCAAGGACACTCGGAAGGACACCCAGAAGAATTTTTCCCAGCAGTCTCAACAGGATTCTACCTAGGACACTCAGAAGGACATTAAGAAGGATTTTTCCCGTCAGTTCCAACAGTATTGTACCTAGGACACTCAGAAAGACACTAAGAAGAATTTTTCCCATCAGTTTCAACAGGATTCTACCTAGGACACTCAGAAGGACATTAAGAAGGATTTTTCCCGTCAGTTCCAACAGTATTGTACCTAGGACACTCAGAAAGACACTAAGAAGAATTTTTCCCATCAGTTTCAACAGGATTCTACCTAGGACACTCAGAAGGACATTAAGAAGGATTTTTCCCGTCAGTTCCAACAGTATTGTACCTAGGACACTCAGAAAGACACTAAGAAGAATTTTTCCCATCAGTTTCAACAGGATTCTACCTAGGACACTCAGAAGGACATTAAGAAGGATTTTTCCCGTCAGTTCCAACAGTATTGTACCTAGGACACTCAGAAAGACACTAAGAAGAATTTTTCCCATCAGTTTCAACAGGATTCTACCTAGGACACTCAGAAGGACACCTAAGAGGCTTTTTTCCAGCAGTCCCAACAGGTGTCCACCTAGGACACATTCCAGGATGGCTATAGTTATCCTCTCCAGCATCTCCAATAAAATAAATTCACCTAGGGTGAATCTAAGAGGCTGTGGAGTATATTGCCGGGAAAATTATGTGAATATAGTGTGGCAATGTACACTATTTTCACATAATTTTCCCGTCATTTAGGACAGGGACTCTATTTATCGATCCTATAATTATGGATCATCCCATTCCTCCCCTCTTTACACCCGAATAAAATCTCAAGTGTTTGAAAAAAAAAGAAGAAAGAACATCAATTTCAGAAAATTAAATCAAAAGCAACCTCCAATTTTCTGACATTCCAGTTGTTTTGTTTTTTTTTCATTGTTCGATTCAGGCACGGTACCCCCATGATTTTAGCGACACGAACTTCCGGGCCCTGGTGATTACATTTATCGATTTATTATCATCCAACTTATTTTGCAAGGATCTACAAAATATTGTCAAAATAAAATTCATTCTCCACAATACAATGAGTCTTGATCTTGCTGTCGTCGTGAAGTCCTGAAATGTATCCCTTTTCAGAGCGTCGGACGTCCTTTGCCTTCCTCAGGGGAGAGTACTATCCAAATATATTCGCAACATTTCCTGGGATTGGTAGAAAATATAATCCCTGAAGCTTCTCACGCCTTCATCCACTGTTCCACGTACTCAATTGCTTGAATAAGAATTTTTTTCTCTGATACGCGAAGCTTGACTGCCATTTTCCGAATTGGTGACATCGTCGTATTGAGAATCTTCAAGTCCTCCTATTAATGTAAAAAAAATATGCCAGTGAATCCGCCAATTCTGTACACGAAAAATTGCCTACAAATTTGAAATGTTTTATATCTATTTTCTATCGAAAAATATAATCTAAAAGAAAAAAATAGGGACAACCGGAGCGCTCTAACTCAATTATTGGCAGAGATTTTAAAGATTCATTTTTTTTTGTTCAGAAAACTTTTTTTTTTCAATTATAATTGTAATTGCGAGTCATTGAAAACAACATAAAACGAATTTGAACCCATAGATTTTGTCGGAAAATTTTGCAGCTTCTCAAAAAGTATCGTTTTTCATGTATCTACACTGAGAGGAAAATTTCTTAATATGTAGATCATATTTACTTGAGAGAAGTAAATTTTTTTCAAAGGCTTAAATCACAAAATATTTGCGCTACACGAATCTCGAATAAGTTCTCATTTATCACTATCGTTCTGCGTTACACCATGAATATATTACATTTCAAAACATTGGAAGTGAATGAAAGAATTATGAAAACACTAACCATTTAAAGACTGATGATTTTTCTACGCAATTTGAGTAACTTCATTTGCGACAGAATTATACTTGAGTACAAGAACCTTTTAAAGCATGCCACCTTTCTCGGGCTACGTGAATTGAAATGTCTGAGAGAATTAAGCGATGGAGGAAAAATGACTTGTCTAAAGTGAATATGTTTCAGATATTAGAATTTTTTTTCTCAGTGTGTATTTTAGTATGGAAAACTTATTTGGGGTCGGTTCCAATTTGAGTGAAACATCTTGTTTCATGTCTTTACCGCGGAACTACGTCCTGTGCTCGCATATGATACTCAGAAGAGTTAATTTCCACATACTATTTTTCGAATTAGATACATCGTTGGTATTCCATCAGAAATTACAAGAGACTTTTTTCTCACCCAATTAAATGCTGATGAATTTCCTTTTACTTTCTTCATAATTCGGTGAAACTCCTCATTAATATCCCTGTTAACTTTTGTGCATCAATTTCACACCCTGAAATATGGACTTTACATCTTCCAGTCTGAAAATCTACAGGAATGACTGAATTGAATTTCATCGTTTTCGCAATGGTTTGTATGATAAAAGAGAAAGATCATCGAATTCAATTGGGTGAGAAAAAAGTCTTCTGTAGTCTCCGATGCAATACCAATGAGCTGCACATTTCTAAAACTAAATGAAATTCAGGAGAATAACCTTCAGTTTTTTTGATTGATTGAGCATTGATTAGTAGAAATAAAGCCTCCTGAATATCATAACCCAACACAAAATGTAATGCAGAGGTGGACACATGATACAAGATATGTCACTTAAATACCGAAATTAGTTTTTGGACAATATCTCAGGATGCAAAAAAGATAAAGAGCTTTTGCTTCCGAATGGAAATATTGAAATCGTACGATTTTTCGATTCTCTAATTTGGCCTGGAAATGATGTAGAATGGTCTGAAACGTAAAAATACGAAGTTTGCGGACCATGTATGTATGTGCGCGTGGTCAACTTGATCCACTTGATGGTCAACTTTTAGAAAATGAAACGAATAAATGGCTGAAATAATTTCAAAAAATTTAAAATTTTGTGAGATTAGTCGCATTGATGAGTACTAAGTCTGTGCTAAAGTTCAACTGAAATGATTCAGCCATTTTTGAGAAATCATCATTTGTTTTTAAATCTTTTTTGCAAATATCCCGAAAACTATCCCACATATTTTCAATTTTCAATTTTCAGATTTCAATTTTCAATTTTCAGATTTCAATTTTTTTCTCTTCAAAATACTTGTCTTCATATCTTTTATTGCAATCCATCAAAATATCTATATCCGTTCATACAATGTTTTCGAGATATTTCTATTTTTCGGTTTTTCGCTGAAAACTTTTATTAGCACTCTAGTTTTCCTAAAAATTAACATATTAACTTGAAATTTGGTAGAAGGTTTTCTCTTGGCACTTCAATGTTTGGTATTGAAGCTGGGCTAAATCGGATGGATAGTTTAGGAGATATTCGACTTTATATACAAATATATTTTTTTGAGTATCTCAAAAACTACTCAACCGATTAAAATTTTTTTTCCAAAATACTTGTCTTGATGTCTTCTATTGTAATCTGTCAAAATATGTATACCCGTTTATTCAAAGGTTTTCAGCTATTTCTAGTTTTCGGTTTTTCGCAGAAAATTTTTGTTAGCACTCTAGTTTTCCTAGAAATTGACATTATTGAGGCATCAGCCTTATATCACGGTGGGTCAGCCTTTTAGTCTCTAGTGGCAGCACCTCCTGGGCGCGAATCTGATTGACCGACCGCGCCCAATCTAATTTGCATCAGGGCCACCTGTCGCGACACTTGCCAAATCTCTTTCTTCTCGAATCGCATGGCGACAAGTGAACACCGCGTGTTTTATCTCCGCGCTTATAATCTTTAATTATTGTGAACATCTCATACGTGAGAATTTTCTAACGTGTCTCAACTTAATTATTAGTTGACAGTGTTTATTTTATTATAAATATTTATTGACTTCGGTGTATTTTTTTAGTAAAAATATAAGTTTTTATCATGACTCTATCCACGCGAACAGTGACATTTATTTTGTGTGAATTTCCCTATCCGTTTCCCGAAGCCGGCTCTCCCTCGGGTTTTTTTAATTAATTCTCGCTGAAACATTTGGTCCTTCGAGCCGGATCTTCGGGAAAAGTGAACATTTTTTTTTGGTGAAACATTAGTGCGCGTGGTGTTGTGGAAATCGCGGGAAACTGTATTCGCTCCTCCCCCGTGTGACGTAGTGGTGCAGGGGTGCTCATTCAAAACCTTTGACTTCGTGCGCGCCACTAGAGTTCAAAATCGAGTAGTAACACTCATCCTGGGGCTCCAGTTCACCTCTTTGCAGCCTACCAGAAGCAGATTTTTCGACTTTCTCACTGTTTGCTGAGGTTCTTTGCTCATCTCCGCTGCAATCAGACCTTCTCACAGGGAAGTTAATAATTATTAGTATTAATTTTTCTATTGATTTCCGCCTGATTCGCTACTGCTTCTGCTTATTTCGACGTGTTGGCTATTGCCTGTGCTGCTTCTTCCGCTGTTGCTCTTCTCTATCATCTCTAGTGCTGATATTCTTTGTTTGCGTTTTTTTTCGTTTCACCTTGTTTTTTTTTAAAATCTCGTACGCAGGCAGAGTTATGATCCAAGCCAGTAGGGCACAATTTATTGAGCCTTTCAAAACAGACTCTGTAGCCGAAAGAATTAAGCAGCTGTCGGTCACCGAACTGCAGTCCAAGCTGGACATTTTAGAGACTCACTGGAGTCAGTTTGAGGAGCAGCACTTAAAGCTGCTCTCTAGTAAGGACTGTGCTGAGATTCTCGAGCACGACTACGTCAAGAAGCAAGTCTATGATGAGTACTTATTAAGTTACTCCGCAGCAAGAACTACGTTTATCGGGCTGATAAAATCCCTGGACGATTCGATAGATTTATCAGAATCATTTCACCGTAGGCCTAGTGCATATGCTCCAACTGTTCAAGTGTTTCAGAGGCAATTGTCTAAGATTTCTCTGCCAACTTTCTCTGGGAATTTCTCAGAATGGACTTCTTACAAGGATCTCTTCCTCTCAATGGTGGTTGGTAATAATGCGCTTTCTACTGTCGAAAAATTCCACTATTTGCTCACTTCTCTCGCTGGTGAACCTAAGCAATTGGTGTCGACTCTGTCGGTGTCACAAGCCTCTTTTCTGCCAGCTTGGGACATGCTCACGGGTAGATACGATAATGAACGTCTCCTCATATCTATTCAGCTGGAGAAATTGTTTAGCATTCCGAGGATTATCAATCGAACGTCTAAGGAGTTCAATGTCCGTCTGAACTCCACTACCGAAGCCTTGAATGCTTTGAAGACGTTAGGGCGGCCAGTGCAGCATTGGGACGACATTCTGGTGCATGTGGTCTCGAGTCGTCTGGATGCTAAGACGAAGAAGGCGTGGGAAATTAAGATCGGTGCTACCACGGCCTTCTCTTCGATTGAGGAGTTGAAGGAGTTTATTCTGAGCAGGGCCAGAGCGAAGGAGAGGATCGAGCTTCAAGCTCCCCAGGTGGTTACGTCGAGTTCTCACCAACAACCACCTAGATCTAAGCCAGCTAACGTGTTGAATGTCTCAGCTGGTACTGGTGATCAGAGGTCGAGTTCTCAGTCATGGACAGACATGAGTGCCAATCCCGGCTCCATATGCTCCGATCATTTTATTGATAGATGCCCGAAATTTAAGTTATTGACTCCTGATAAGCGTAAGGAGTTCTCGAGAGGAAGTACTTGTGCTTCAACTGTCTGGGGAAGCATTCCATTCGTGCTTGTCGCAGTCAGAAGACGTGCACAGTTTGCAAGAAGAATCATCACTCTATGATTCATATCAGTCGTCCTTCATGTGCTCCTCAGATTGTGTTTCAGCCAACTGTGGCTCAGCAATCGTCTCAACCTCGTGACAGCCAGATACAGTCCACTGTCTCTAGGCCTGATGGATCTCAACCGTGATTTTCGCAACCGACGTCAGTATCGACACCGACGCCGATAATTTCGGAGCGTTCTCAACGGTCGTCGCTGTCAAGTGATTCTCCATCTGTAGCAATGACAATTCATGAAGTGTCATCTCAGCTCAGACCAAGTGTTCTTCTCGCAACAGCCGTGGCTTCTCTGATTGGGGAAAATGAATCAACGTGCGAAGTTAAGATGCTGGTCGATTCTGGATTTGAGTTGTCATTCGTTACAGATAGTCTTGTGGTGAAGCTAGGCTTGTTGACATCTCCAGCCTTACTACCTGTCGTTGGTATCGGTCATCAAGGGGCCAGAGGATTCCTCTACAGCCATATACATTATCTTCCGTTGGGTGGTGCTCAGACCGACCTCGGCGGTGATTCCCATGATGACCAACTCTGATCATGTGTCAGTCAGTAACGAGGAACTTGACCACCTTCTCACCAAGTTCTGGCTGCAAGAGAAAGTTCCAAAA